GGGTGCAAATGAAAGCCAAAAGCTTCTCGCTAGATCCAATCCAGGAGGAGCAAGTAGCTTATCCAGCCAAGGAGAATACTGCTAATTTATGGCACAGGAGGCTTGGGCACTATCACTATCAAGGACTTCTCCAAATGCAAAACTCAGATATTGTAAGGGATTACATACTGATGTAGGAGGACCTCAAAGAACTCCTTCACTCAAAGGTAGCCGTTACTACATTATCTTCATAGATGATCTAACACGGATGTGCTGGATTTATTTTCTGAAATTTAAATCAGAAGTTGGGAGCACTTTCTGGAAGTTCAAGGCGCTGGTGGAAAATGAAAGTGGGTGTAAAATTCAGATTTTGAGGTCTGATAGTGGCAAGGAATACACCTCAAATCAGTTCAAATTGTTTTGTGAAACAGAAGGCATTGAGCATCAACATACAGCCCCTTATACTCCAGAGCAAAATGGAGTAAGCGTGCGAAGAAACAGATTCATCATGGAAATGGCCAGATGTATGTTGCATGAGAAGAATTTGCCTAAGAAGTTTTGGGCAGAAGCTGCAAACACAGCAGTATTCTTGCAAAACAGACTTCCTACAAAGGCAGTGAAGAACAAAACTCCTTTTGAGGCATGGTACGAGTATAAACCTCCATTGAATTTTCTCAAAATATTTGGATGTCTTTGTTTTACCCATGTGCCACTGGTTAAACGAGACAAACTAGACAAAAAGGCTGTAGCAGGAATTTTCATTAGATATAGTGCGGTTTCAAAGGCTTACAAAGTGTTTCAGCCTGAAACTGAAACTATAGCTATCAGCAGAGATGTGCACTTTATGGAGAATGAAGAATGGGATTGGAAAGGCACAAAGTCGTCCATATCAAACTCAAACTCGTGGTTAGATGAAAGAGAAGAAGACCCACCAGTTAGAGGAACCCGATTACTCTCAGATATATATCAGAGGTGCAATGTTGCAGTCTGTGAACCTGTGATCACATTGAAGCTCTCAAAGACTCTAAGTGGAAGAATTCAATGAAGGAGGAGTTGTTCATGATCGAGAAGAACAAGACTTGGGAGCTTGTTGATAAACCCGATGATAGAAAAATCATTGGAGTAAAATGGGTGTTTAGAACCAAAAGAAATGTTTATGGCTCCATCAACAAGTACAAAGCAAGGCTGGTTGTTAAAGGGTATGCACAAATTTTTGGTGTTGATTATTCTGACACATTTGCCCCAGTTGCCAGGCTTGAGACAATCAGGTTACTTCTTGCCATTTCTATTCAATTTGGATGGAAAGTGCATCAGATGGATGTCAAGTCAGCATTTCTTAATGGGATTCTTAAAGAAGAGATATATATCGATCAACCCGAAGGTTTTGTTGTGGAAGGGAAAGAAGACAAAGTCTATCGATTACATAAAGCTCTTTATGGCCTAAAACAGGCTCCTAGAGCTTGGTATAGTCGAATAGATGACTACTTACTTGGCCTTGGTTTTGAAAAAGTCTTTCGGAATCCACGCTCTATGTAAAACATAAGAGCAAAGAAATCCTTGTTGTTTCTCTTTGTGTTGATGATCTCTTGATTACAGGGAGTAGCACAGAGCTTATTGATGAGTTCAAGCTAGACATGATGCAAGCTTTTGAAATGACTGATCTTGGTCTTATGACATACTTTCTTGGAATGGAGATCAAGCAAGTAAAAGATCAATGTTTTATTTGTCAGAAGAAATATGCAAAGGAGATTCTCAAAAAATTTAGAATGGAGGATTGCAAAGAGATGAATACTCCAATGAATCCGAAAGAGAAACTGAGCAAAGATGATGGAGTTGAAAGAGTGGATGAAACGCATTATCGAAGTCTCATTGGTCGTTTGATGTATCTTACAGCAACAAGGCCGGACATACTATTTGCTGCAAGTGTTCTATCAAGGTTCATGCATTGTGCCAGTGAAATACACCTAAAGGTAGCAAAAAGAATTGTCAGGTACATCAAAGGAACCATCAACTATGGAGTTCAATTTCAGAAGTGTCAAAATCCAAAGCTTTTTGGATATTCTGATAGTGATTGGGGCGGCTCCTTTGATGATATGAAGAGTACTTCAGGGTACTGTTTTAGTCTTGGCTTAGAAAGTTTTTCATGGTGTTCAAAGAAGCAGGATAGTGTGGCCCAATCAACTGCAGAAGTTGAATTTGTGGCCGCAACAGCAGTAGTAAATCAAGCTTTATGGCTTAGAAAAATCCTAGCTGACTTGCACATGGAACAGACCAAAAGCACCAAAGTGTTTGTCGACAACGAAGCTGCAATTGTAATTTCATACAATCCTGTGTTCCATGGGAAAACTAAGCATTTTAATATCAAGCTGCTTTTTGTGTGAGAAGTGCAAAAAGATGGAGATATAGCTCTTATCTATTGCAAGACAGAGGAACAATTAGCTGACATATTTACAAAAGCTTTACCAGCCATGAAATTTGAGCTCCTCAGGGAGAAGCTTGGAGTTTGCAGTTTCCAAAGCAAGGAGGAGTGTTAGAAAATATGCTTTTGACTGCATGACTAGTTCAAATGCTATCTAGTCTGTCAGTTTACTTGTTCAAAGGTTGTTAATTTGTTGAGTCAAGGTTGTTTCATTAAGCTAATAATAGGTTCCTATTTACTAGGAGAAGTTAGCTAGTTATTTGGATTCTTTAATCAGTAATATTTAGCTAAGTTTGTTATCTGCAGCACTATAAATACTAGTGCAATGAACTGAATAAAAGTATCTTCCAGTTATTCTATTGTGAGTTGTTATATCTTTCCTTTCCAAAAACCTACAAGTACGCATCATCTACTTACCTAGCATTTTAGCACAACCATACCAATCATTCCCTCCCTTTGGAGCCCATGGGCATCCTGGGATCATTAGCCCCTGTCACAAACATTTAAAGTCACATCATAACCCAAGCGCAGCAAGCAAGGCATGTAAACCACAATCTAATTACACAACACTTATCTATCCCCAATTCGGGCAGAAGCTGCCCTGCACCAGCAGTGAATTCAACCTGAAATACAAAGCCAATAAAGTCAGAACCAACTTCGGGCCTCAACATAAGAGTTGTAGACCTGCCTCTTATCGTTCCCTAGCCACCAAGAACACTAAATTCCAAGCCGTCTAACTCCAGTTATGGCTCCTACATCAACTCGAGGTCAAGCAGCTGGACTGCTGCAGACCAGTCCATTTGGAGAGAGCATAAGTCGCTCAGTGCAGCTCCACAATCCACCAAACCGGTGCCATATGAAAGCTAGGGATGTTAGCTAACCATAGGCTTTGGTTTCACTCAATTCCACCCAGTGGTTTGGCCGCAATCCTCATTTTAGTGGCCAGGGGTCTGTCTGGCTGAGAGCAGAACCCCTAGGCTCACCTCTCCTCCTTTCCCCTCTTTTCTCTCTTTCTCTCTCTCTCTGTCACACACCTATCACGATTTAATTCTGATCAGAATGAGTGAGAGGTACCTGGTTTCACCCCTTAGGTGATGGTAAGTAGGTGACTAAGCACCTACTTGCCACACTTGCCAACTTGGTGCCACTTGCACCAAGTTGGTGCCACCTCATGCTTGTTTCCCATCCAATTAGTTGTGGCAACCAACCTGCTAGCTTGCACACCCAAACCACCAGCAGCTTATTCCCAAGCCACACGTCTCATTCTGATTGGTCGGTTTGTCCAGTTACGTATTTACCCTCATCGAGCCCAATTGTGCACCGACGGGCACCCCGGTGCCCCGTTGTGCACCATTTGTGCCAACCCGAGCCAACGGGTATCTCATTTGGGCAATTGTGCCTCCATTGCACCAATTGCACCTAATTAATATGTTCCTAACATAATCCATCACTTTATCGACTGATTAATAATGTCGAGCACTCGGTATCCCCTAAATAGGTCAACCGTGCCATCGGGTCACCACGAACCCGTTTGTGCACATTAGGCCAAGCCAATGCGCACCATTGTCCTCAATCCACTACTAGCACGTGTTACCGATCCAAAACCCATAGTATCATGTACACATGAAATGTGAGCATCACGCACAAGATACCGAATACACGATCCAACTAACAAGAATGTCCTCGAAGGACAAGTAACACCCGACTCTCATCAAATAAGTATCCCCCTAGGACCTAGGTGTACCCGGAGTATCACAATTACTTTCAGTCTCAGCCCACCTGATCCTATAACTTTTAGATGGTATGACACAAGACTTTGTATGAAAACGAGCTAAAGGAGCCGAGCGAAGACATAATTATATCAGGGATTTATGATTTAAATTCTTGAACATAACCAAGAAAAACTATCTAGTAACATATGAATGTAATAACGGGCTTTATATATGTCCATACTTCTCAAATTAGGTATCTTGCTACGTGGAATATCCAGAGACTTGTGGCATTGAGCGGCTGTAAATACGAATACGCTGCAGGTTGTTTGTCTCTCTCATTGCTAACTACTTATTCAAGAAATCACATAATTTATTATGATGAGAGGTTACTTGAGAAGCAAAACAAAATATTAGAAGGAAAAGCGACTGCTGGCTTGTAATTAGTTATTGGGTCGCTAGAGTTATACCTGCTACCATCCCTCACCAGCTCCAGTCCAACCACTTGGTATTTAATTCCCTCCCAGAAATGGATCAGTTTCACTTATCCTTGGAATAAGAATCGTAAAAAATAGGCCATTTTGACCAACCACAATGGCCTGGAACGAACCAACTAATTAAGGATTAGGAAAAAAAAATGGAAAATGTCACTTCTATTGGATGTTAGGTTTCTAGAATATTAGTATAAGGTTGGTTGTAATATGATTAATGTCGCCTTCATATTTGCTAATCCCCTGTTGCTTGAAACATGTGTGTTTGCCCTGAGAGCTAACCCATCTTTAAAATCATTCGTTCTTTTCTCATTCCCATCATCAAGATTTGAAATCTTGACCACCCCAGCCCATCAAGAGAGATTTACACCTTCTATCTCTCTTTTCTCAAAAAAACAAGATATGAAGAACGGTAACAATAACAACACAAAGCTCATCCTCCTCCACCCCTATATCCAGAAACAAGGAGGGTCCAATCGCTTATGGCTCCTTGCCTTTGTATCCTTCTTCACCATTGCCTTCCTCCTCACACTAATCTATACTAGAGAATCCTTGCCCACCAAAACAGCCACCAGCGCCACCATGACCACCGCCAGCACCACCGGGAACAATGCGCCATTGCCCACCACAGTCATCAACACACTCCTCCACTATGCCTCTAGATCAAACGACACCTTTCACATGCCCTACAATGAAATCAAACCCATCTCTGATGCCCTCAGGAAATGCTCATCTCCATGTAACTTTCTTGTTTTTGGCCTCACACACGAGACCCCTCTCTGGAAAGCCCTAAACCACAACGGACGCACAGTTTTCATCGAAGAGAACCGCTACTACGCGGCATACTATGAGGAGCTGCATCCTGAAGTTGATGTCTTTGACGTCCAATACACAACCAAGATGACAGAATACAGAGAACTCATAGCCTCGGCCAAGGAACAGATACGCAACGAATGCAGGCCTGTGCAGAATTTGCTCTTCTCAGAGTGCAAGCTTGGGATTAATGACTTGCCTAACCATGTCTACGAGGTGGACTGGGATGTGATCTTGATCGATGGGCCTCGAGGGGATGGACTGGAAGGGCCAGGGAGGATGACACCAATCTTCACAGCTGGTGTTCTTGCTAGAAGCAAGAAGGCTAGCAATGCCAAGACTCACATATTTGTACACGATTACTACAGAGACGTGGAGAGGGTTTATGGGGATGAGTTCTTGTGCAGGGAGAACTTGGTGGAGCACAATGACATGCTTGCACATTTTGTGGTGGAGAAGATGGACGAGAATAGCTTCCAGTTCTGTCGTAACCGGACATCAAAATCACCCAAATCTTCCTGATCTCTTTTGAAACTTTATCATCGTAATTAACAAAGCTTAGTGCCAAAAGGGGTCAGTGGTATAAAGAGAGGTAAATGTGTTTTATTTATGATCAATTGAAACTTTTAGACCTCTGCCCTTTCTTCTACTTTTTTTTTTTTTGTTCATTTTTCCTTGTTTCTTTGGGGAAATGGGTGTAAAAATAATTCTTTTTTGGCAATGGAAGTTGTAAAATTTCGTGAAATTGGAAGCCTCATTATCACTTGTACCAACTATTTCTCTCTGGTCATTGGGTATACCGTATACAACAACTGCTGCATATTGCACGCAGACCTGCAAAGAGAAAAATTCACAGCAAATATTTATCTAATTTTGCACACATAATTTCTGATTCAGCGCATGAAAAATTAGAATGGAAAGAATTTTCCTTCAGGCCGTTCTAAATAGAAATTTAGCGTTTGAGAATAAATTTCCTCTTGGTTGGATTACTAATTTCACATAATGTAGAAGTGAATGGCAGTCACATCAAAAAGGATCCTGGCGAAAGTCCGATAAAAATATACGTAGTGTTTGTATTACTCCTTATGTGGCAAGAAAATGGAAAAATGTATAAGGTATTCTCCCAACGAAGGCTCATCAAGGTCATGGTGGGATCCTTATCACATTCCATAAATATATATACCTACCACGAAATAAGATTAGGTGCCGGGGTTGACAATGTGGACAAGGTCACTAATTGGGAATATATGGAGAATCAATAATACTCAATAATTGAGCTGATTACACTATAATACAACTCAGAATTTGCTTTGTTGATGATCTGTGCTCCCTTATGCTTATTGGTCGTCCTCCAAGGAAACAAGAGTCTGGTTAGTTGCAGGCTTGGGCATCATGATACGGTTGCTGTGTAAAGAAAGAATTATAGCCGAGTACTTGTCCAATTTAATTGAGGACTGTTATAAAACGTGGTATTATTGGATGTCATTAGAAGACAAAATGCCACCTAACAAATTGCCTATATATTGTACCCAGTTAATTGAGTTCTCTGTATGGAACAAGAACCGAGCTTAAGCAGTGAAGCTCTTCTGCGGCTCCATTTCTTCTTCTTCCATTATTCTTCATCTTCTCTTCTATTAATCCATCTTCATAACTAGTTTATTTACAACACGTTATCAGCATGATAGTTTCTACCTAGTTTTGAGGCTAGAAACCGGTGCAGAAAACACCTCGCCCGAGCCACCTTCATGAGCCATTTTCCACCTACTGCCACCACGCTGCAGCCCGCCACCGCCGACGAGCAGGCCACGCCTCTTCCTGCCAGCAGCGGCTCCGTGTCCCGCCATTCACCAAAAAAAAGGGGAACCAGAAAACAGAGGAAGGTGATGAACAGTTGCCACCCAAGCTCGGTCACTGTTCATCGTAAGCTTTCCGCACCTCATCTCACGCCACTGCCGCCACCGAAGTCTCGCCCGTGCCGTCGCGACCACGATGGTGCCTTCTCCTTCCGCTGCCGCCTCCTGACGCGCCGACAGGAAGAAGAAACCCGACGAGGAACCCGTCGACCCGGCAATGCTCTCGTCGGATTCTTCTTCCCCGCGACGCCGATCCTCCCTGCTGCTCGTCCTCCCTCACGCCGCCTCGCAGATGCCGCGTCCCAGCTGTCGCCGCTGCACTCGAGCCCCGTCGCTCCGCCACTGCCGCTCACGGCGAGGTGAGCAGTTGCAGGGGAGAAGATGACCCGTTTTGGCCGGGTCATGTGGTCGGATCCCTTTTGACCCTAGGGCTAGGCTGTGTTGGGCTGGGCTGGACCGAACTGGGCTGGGCTGTCATAGGCTTGGGCTTCACCTGGGCCGGCACTGTTCGGCCCAACCCGATAATAAAAAAAATAAAAAAATACTGAAAAAAGGGAAAAATAGAAAAAAACAAAAAAAAAAGAAAAAAAGGTGGGAAAGAATTAATATTGCCGAAAGATTTATCGAGTAGGCGTATATTATACTTATTATTATTTTTTTTAGTGGGCTATTAAAAGGCCTATAATATTTAAATTTCTCGCTTTTAATTTAGAATTTCATTGGGCTCGTATAAGGCCGATTAACTTTCAGTCTTTTATTTTAATTGGGCTAGTTAATAAAAGGCCCATGTTTATTTATTTTATTTAAGACTTTTATTTATTTAATTTTTGGCATTATGTTACAAATATTGGAGGCACTTAAAATTTTCGGAAAAAAATTGTTATGGGCATTGAATGCATTTTAAATGCAAATTGTCTGACAGACGCAATAAAAAGTGAATATAAAGCAAAGACTGGATGTCTTACTGCCAAAAGATCTCATAGATCTTTATGGAAAATTGAAGAAAGATATAACCACCAGAAGGTAGATATTGTATGACCATCCAAAGATGGATACTGTTATTATCTTGCTTACCCTGAAGGTGCAAGCCAATATATATTGAATAATATTATTTTATACTTCAGTTTTATTATTATGTGCTATTTTATTTTATTTTATTTACTTTACAGCATTTTATCATTGTTTCTAGAATAATGGCTCAGACATTTGTCCTGAAGACAATGCAAGTTGACATCCAAGGGGGAGAATTATATGTGTGGATGTCAACTATTTCACATAACATGTGATAGTACAATCTTAAAATGAGAAAAAGGTTAATACGCTCCAGAAGAGCATAAGTTTGAATATATTCCCGAAGAACGCAAGCTTTACTATGATTTAGAAGATCATATATTTATGCTCTGGAAGAGCTAATACTCTTGAAGAGTACAGACACCCCCCAATGACAGTAATAAAGAAATTATTATGAATCCCGTTAAATTTATTCTGCTCTATTCCCTGAAGTGAATAAAACAGTATTATTAATTGTGCCTATGGCCGTGGATAAGTTTATGATGACAAGGTTATAATGATAAAGGGAAACTATGAATATTATTATTGCATAATGGATCCATAACTAGAGAACATTCAAAGAGGAATTGTTCTCATACATAAGTTCAAATAGATATTTATCTGTTGGATACAACATTGACTATAAAACTTTGAGCCTCACTGTTGATGTTGACCCTAACACTGTCGTTTCAGGAGAACCACATACCACCCATGTTATTTTCTCCAGGTATCTCAAATCGATTTGTTGGAGGAAAACGGAGTGGAATTACCCCATGGTTCTCTGCAGGTTGCCACAAAATTTTTGTAATCAATACCATGTTGGGCTTGTACTGATTTTTCAGATCCCTTAAGGTACGCACAAAATCTTGGGACCTTCTTGCTACACCCCTGCAATTCCATAGTAAAAGTCGTACCTTAGGCCATGTAGGTGGTAACCTAGTCACCCTTGGGACACTCCGAGCCATCATGGAAACCTGATAATAACTGCTTTGATTTAAAATTTGACATGAAGGCTCTAGCTGAAATTCCTGCAGTCTATCAGATATGAAAAACATAATAGAATTAGTTGAGCTATAAAAACTAGCCCTGAGGTTGGCTTGGTCCTCCAGGAAGAAAGTTTCTTCCATAGGAGTCACAAAGAACCTAGACGAGTAAAGCTCATCAACAAACACTAAACGAGGGATTCTTGCGTGTTCACTCGATAATTCCTCCTGTTGTTCATTGACCATACTATATGCTAGTCTGTTCCTCCTACCTAGTGAGGCCCCCGCAACAAAGAAGACAGTAGTCGGGGAAGGCATGTTTTATCTTGTTGAGTTTTTCTGCATCTACACATATCTCTACTCTCTCTTTATAGTCTGAGCCTTCTGTCTCCGAAAAGATCCAAAAGATTTTTTTGGTGATTAGAGATGTGTATTATTTTTCACAAAACTCCAAAAGTTTTCAATATTCGAGGATTTGTTTTTTTTTGAAAAGTTTGCCGTCACGTTTAATTATTGCTCAACAATTCTGATCTTTTTTGACATGAGTGGCAGAAATAAGCCTAATATTAGCACATGTATTGCAGCCTGAAGCTAGCAATTGAGTAATTGAAACTTACCATATCCAGCCAGAAGCTGGAATGCACTAACCTGAAGCTAGCGATTTTAAATGTTTAAATACACAGTTTGCACAGCCCGAAGCTGAGACCAACTAGAAGTTGATAGATAGATATGTAATTTATAGCTTCTATGCACCAGCCAGAAGCTGGTAAATAATTTTCCTAAGTTATTATATCCAGCCTGAAGCTGGCATATAAATAGCAACCTGAAGCTGGCACCAACTTGAAGTTGGTACATGGACTTATTGTTTGGCATGACCGGTTGGGCCATCCCAGGTCAATAATGATGCACGATATTTATTTGGTCATTCATTGAAAAACCAGAAGTTTTACAATCAATGAATTTCCACGTGTTTGTTTGCAGCGAAATTAATTATACGGCCTTCCTAAGATGAGATTGGCCTAGAATCGCCAGCAAGTTTGGGAATAATTCAGGGACATATACGCGGACTAATAAATCCGTCGTGTTAACCATCTAGATAATTTTATTGTTTTAAATCGATGCATCGACTAGATGGTATATTGTGTACTTATTAGACGCAAGTTGGGATGTTGCGCGTTTATTATGATTAAGCCAATTGCGGGTACACATCCCTAATTATCTTGTAAGACTATATGTCTTGATAATGCTGGTATATCTCTTCAATGGATAATGTATATTGTTGGAAATAAACCCAAACCGATCTGGGCCAACATTTCCAATTGATTGCAGGACCATTGCTAAAGAGATATTACTGTTTGGGAACATGGTATTTTACACGCAGCAAATGTGCATCAAGCCAATAAGATATCATAAGATCATAAGATCTCCCCATTGGTTCATGGTCACGGACCTAGTATCTTCCACCTTCAGACCATTGGTTGTACAGTATTTAATGCTCCACCACAGCATAGTAAAATCGGTCCTTTAAAGAAGGCAGGGAATAGATGTTAGGTATAAAAATCTCCATCAGTTACAAAGTAGTTGAAACCATTAATTTGAGATTGGAGACATATTTGCTTAAAGTGTTTACCCAACA